GCAATGCTTCCAAAGCTCTCCGCACCGAGCCTGGCCAATCGTAACCTCTCCACAAATGCCAGTCATCGTTGCCACGTGAATGGTCCTCGTTGGCTGTCACTCTCTGAAAAGGCCGGGCAGTGTGCAGGGGTGAAGCCTTTGCAGTAGATAGCTCTGTTCTCTTCTGCTGCCTCCCGTCGCTTTGGTGGAAGTTGGCATGTTGATTGATTGGCACTTACTCCAGATTGAGCTGTGGAATTTAATTATAGAAGTATCACGGTGGAAGAGGGTGACTTACTGGTGTGGTCACCTCGCCAGGAGGCCGATGAGCCTCATGCCCATGCAGGCTGCGTTACTTCATGAACAAATGGAACGTGTTGCAAATGTGTCCCCTAAAAGATAACTCATGGACAGTGCGCAAGGGAACACGGGGCCTTTTGGAGCAGTCTGTTTTCGTTTGTGTTTCCAATCAGGGATCGAAGCTGTAATTGTCTGTGAAGAATGGCTGCGTCCCCAGGACCAAGGTAGCTGGAGCTGACCTCTGAAACACTGCGTGGCACAGTTCTGGTAGAGTGGTTATAGACTCTCCTGGGGGGTGTCACTGGGAGACAGGGGAAGACAGAGAGGGTGTGGCGACTGCCATTTATTACTCCTGTGACATGAGGTCTCACCCGCTCATCTCCACCAGAGCTCTCTGATAAATGATTCTGCTCCTAGTGGTGTATGCGCAGAGTCACTGGATAAGGTGGCTGGCTTTCCATGTGCGAAGTGTATTGCTTTGCCCCACAGACACCAGATGAGTCACAATGGAAGTAGCGAGGGTTTGAAGAGGTGTGTGTCTTTCCTTTTACCCAAACCTGCTCACTTCAGTCCTGGGAATTCAGTCGTGCAGACACTGCTCGCTTTCAGAAGAGCTGTTCTCCTTTCCTGCCCTTGGTGTTCCAAGCCTAATCTGACTTCTGAGGTGTGTTCCTTTTCTAACTCTACTTTTTGCATAAGTGGATTAATTCAGCATTTGCTGTGCAATGTCCCTGTAAGAAAGCAATCTTAGAACATCTACTCTCTCGCAGTCATTGAATATATAGAGATGCCATGATGCCATGATATTTTCTATCTATCGCATAGGTAAGCATACTTTAAGACAAGAATCTAGTCTTTCTTTTAAATAAGCATGCATTTTAAAATAGAAAAACCCCGAAACAAAACATCATGTAACATGTGTCCCTGTTAGAACATGAGTATTATATTAGAGTACTAAGCAATGCATTACAAGTACCAGTATGTGGGTGAGTTTTTTTAAATTTTCCGTATCTTGTTTATCAGAAACCTCGGTACCCTTACCTTTAAAGGAGTCAATATTCATTTGTATGCCGTGCTGACAACTATAAATTGATGGCTAGCAGTTATCAAATGAGTGCTGATGAAAAGCAGGTACTTAACATTTTCATCCCAACACAGTTGTGGAAGGATGGATAATTTAGATCTGAGGGCCTCAACTATACATAAATAGCAACTGCTTTCTAAATCCCACCTTTCTGTGGTTGAAGATGGTGCTGCAAATCTGACAAATGATGTTTGAAAGAGAATGATGAACCCTTATTACCAAGATACTCTTAACTTAATCCCAAACAAGAGTCTTGGGTAATTTTACATACGCTATCAAGATTGATTGCACAGTTCTCCTCTGGCAGCTCACAAATGTTGGACTAGATCGGAAATGGCATTCGGGCATGATTAAAGATTCTACTGGGCTTCCCAGAAATTCTCAGTCCTGTGTCCCCAACACCCTAACTCACTGCTGCAGGATAGAGACGCCTCCCCGCGTTCCCATGATTAGCAACTGCATACAACTACAGGCTTCTGATAAATGGTTCTCCAAAAGAAAAAAAAAATCATTTAGGGAAACCCTTAGCTTCAGCCAGTATTTGTATGTCAAGGTATTATTTTATCACAGTGGATCAGTAAGCAGTGGTGACAGCTGGCAAGGCATTGCTTCAGATATTTTATAATGGAGTTGTTAACATTATTTCCTTTAGATGGCTCTTTCATCTTTTCTGAATTATGAACTGATGCCCCAAAAAATGGCATGAAAGTCATCTGATGGTGATTAAAGTGCTCTTTAAAAATGCTTTCTCTGGTATCAGCAGTGCCAGCTTGTTGACTGTTGAGATTTCCCTGATGTGGCTCAGTCTTGTTCTGATATGCAGAACGAGAAGCTGATGAGCCCAACATGAGAACTTGTTACTAAAGTGTTGTCACATCTGATCATCTAAAGATGTCACTCAGAGGTGGCCATTGCTACAGCTGTAAAGAGAATTATCTAAGAAATCAAAGAGGTGGTGGGCATGGGACCAACAAGATATTGTTACTGCTTGATTGTCTAGCAAGGGAGGAAAGTGGAGTGAGTACCCATGAGCACCAAGCATGAATCTGAGAAGGAGAATTTGCCAAATGTACATGATTGATTTTTGGAGTCGAGAAGGTGGTCTTTGTTTTCGAGTGTCCCTGCTGTATACTGTGTTCTTCTACAAAGCCAGAGCCACTTGTGAAGTGATTTAGAGAGTAGATCACCCAAAGCCTCGTGGCAAAGGCATCAAAGGCCATGCCTGAAAAAAGTTAGGCTTTTCTCAAAGGTATGGCTCTCAGCATTGTAGCTGAACATAGGTTTGCATGAAATCTGGCCAATTGCAATTGCTTTCAGAGTCCGTGGAAGGACAGTGCAACCCCCTAGCTCCCGCATCGACTGCAGTAGGAATCCATGAGACTGAAGAATTTCTTTGCTAAAATACCATTCCCATGATGCAAGAGTACTCTATAGCATCATTTCAGAAGGTCATAATGGCAAAATATTCTTTCCGATTAGGAAGAATTCTGCTTTTGGCTTTCCCTGGTGGACTCCTTTGGTCTTAGGATTATCAGAACACTGAAAGGCCACTGTGTCATGACGTTTCAATACCGAATAGTATACTCATTGCGGCATGGGCGTGGAGGGGGGTGCTGGACTGAAATTAGTGGGTTGGATTCTCTCACCACACGGGAGTTCACGGCAAGTCAGTTGGCCACTCTGGTGGTTTTGGCAGAGTAAAATGGAAATCTGTGACAGACAGTTGGAGGTTCACGCAAAGCACTATCTCTACCTGAACTCAGCTAAGAATTCCGGCCAAGATGATATTTGGCGTGAATTAGCTGGATGAGCATTTCCATGCTCCAGTTTGTCTTTAGAGGCATGTCTGCTTCCCTTTTCCCCACACGGGATGCAGAAGAGTCAGATCGACCACTTCAAGTTGCTTAGATCCATGTGCCAGGTGCTAAGCTGAGGGTTATGAGGAATCATAATTCAGTGAAAGGAAAGTTGGATGACACGAACTGTGTTCCATTAGACTTGAGCCACACAAATCAATGGAAAAGAAGTAGCTGAATCTAGGATAATATCTGGCTATTTGGAGTGGGCATAGTTATGGTAGGAGAGTGGGGACGTAACCAGTTACTATTTGATTAAGTTCAAGGCATATCAGTTATTCAAATTCAGGACTCCGGGGCCTTCCCTGATATCACCAAGCAGCCACTTAGTTTCAAAATCCAAGTGCTCGTCTCCCTCACTGTCCACACCCCTGCCAGAGTTATGCCACTTGACTGCATTTGACCATTCCGTTTTCAGATACAACTACAGACCTTAACACTGAAGAAACCAAAACCAGGCAACAACAAACCCCAGTCTGCCTTATCCACCTTCTTCAGATCGTTAACGCCTTCCATGGGCCCTTGGTTCTCAGAATGGCCCCGGCTCGGCTCCCAGGGTCCCTAGGAGACAAGCATAGTGATGGCAAACCAAACCATTTGAGGGAAAGTCCTCTCCTAAGCACCCTGAGTGCTCAGAATTAAAACCTTGCAGAGGTTAAAGAAAGTGATAAACTTCGGGTGAGGGCAGAAAGCCATCTCCGCCACAATCAAAGTTCTTACCATTTTCCTAGTGGGGGCTGCCTTATCTTCCGTTACCTTGTCTGGTCCTCTTTTGCAAAGCTTCTCCCTCTGAGCTGAAAATTAGTAGATGCAGCTAGGGCTGTGAAACACATAAATAATCATAAGATGCCAGATAAACTGTATTGGTTTTAAATTAGAGACGTGCCGGCCATGTCTCCCTCTGAACAGCAGCCTATTGTTTTTAATTATGGCTTGCAAAGCAACGTGATGTCTTGCCCTCCTTACAGCCTCCCTGACTGTATTTTGTCAGTCCGGATGATGTGATGTGCCATCAGTGCACACATCCCTAGCCACAGCCCCTACTGTTACTCAAAAGGTGAATCGAAAGGGATCAATTGCACTGTTTGCAACTTACAGGTGGAAGTGGGCGGGGAGGAAATGGACCCGCTTAGCCGTGGTCCCATTGGAGATCCGGGACAAATACGACATTTAGAAAAAAGTTTTCATAGGTTCTGGATGAATTAAGAGACGTGCTACGTAGTCATGTATGGTGGGGAGTATGTGTGTGTGCATCAAATGTTTTAACACAGCCTTGCCAACCCTTACCCCTAGCAGCACTGTGGACAGAGCATAAAGGGATGAGCTGGCACCAGCTCCACTTGGGTTTTCTACCTGATGGGCCATAATTAAGAGTGGTTGGTTTGTCAGACAGAAGGTTCTACAAACAATTTGGTATCGAGTGACATTATACATTGTGACGTCGAGGGGTTGGATGAATGTGCTCTTGCACATTCAGAAGGATACCATCTTTCTTCCTGTGTGGAAGAGGCGCCTGCCACGCCGTATTGATACGTGTATTTATTTTCTAAGCCTGTTCGTATACGAGGTGTCAAAAGTCACACCAGCTTTACAAGCGGAGTTTATGAACTCGTTTTTCCAGGATAGTCACATTATGCTTTTCCCAGTCACGTGCTTTCAGCCCAGTAGCCTTTGCTATGCCAAGATCCAGCTGAAACGGAATCAAGTGGGGGAGATTTGCTGATGCCATCCCCGGACTCCTCTTCTTAAAACATGTTTTGTCTTTTTTCTTTGATTCCCAGCAACAGGGAGCTGCCACCACCGTCTACTGTGCTGCCGCCCCAGAGCTGGAGGGTCTGGGAGGTATGTATTTCAACAACTGCTGTCGCTGCATGCCCTCGCCAGAAGCTCAGAGTGAAGAGACGGCCCGGGCCCTGTGGGCGCTCAGTGAGAGGCTGATCCAAGAACGGCTTGGCAGCCAGTCCGGCTAAGCGGAGCTCCGAGACCACGGGCGCACATACCCGCTCTGTGTGTGCACCCCCGCGACTGCCGAGGCTGGACCCCTTCTGACCGTATGATCCAAGGGGTTTCCGTGTCCCTCTAACACAGATCCGCAACAGGAAAGGAAATCAGAGCCGTCTCAACAGCGTGAAGAATGTTAAGTACGAATGGGAAGCAGGGAATGCTAGGGGTAAAGGTGCTTTTCTGCGGCTGGGCTGGGCATAGGTTTCTTTGCGTTCTGGTGGTGGCCTCTTCAAAAGTAACAACCGGGGTGGTGGGTGGGTTCTGATTCTTTATCTGCCTGGAGAAGCAAAAGCAATTGTCTCTTACTATTAGAGAGTATCCAGGGGTCCCCTTGACTCACCCAGCTTCCAGCACGGTCACCACTGCAGGCAGAGAGGTGGGCTGTCTTCTACTTAGGGAAGAAAAAGCAAGTGTTGACCGCTCCTTGCTGCATCGATCCAGCAGATAATTGTTTCTTTCATCCTGATCATGCGTAAGCCAGCTTTGCAACTGCTGGGGAGACAAATCTCAGAAACTTGTCCCAGCTGGGCAGGATGGCAGTGACTCCGAGATGCAGTGGCAGAGCTCCTGGGGGACAAAGTGTGTGTCATAGAGTCCTTTGCCAGCGCTACACAAAAAATTCTTTCAAGTTTCTATCCAATAAATGTTTCAAATCATTCCTTAGATAGCTAGACAGGTAGGGAGGGATGTGTTCTCAAGAGCACACAGGATATTTTGGAGAGCGAGGAATATGTCGCTGCCCTCCATCACTCACCGTCTGTTGTCTTACCTTGGCTTTCTGCTTCAATGTCCACCTGTGCCGCCCAACCTACGCTTAATAAAAGAACATGCTTGAAGATGATCACCTGCAGTTTGTACTGTGTTTTTAAATGTTTCCGTTTTTGTTAAAAAAGAAATCTAGAGGAAAAATAAAGCGCTTCCCGTAGATGCCAGGAAAACACGATCCTTGTCTCTTCTCTGAGTTTGCGTTTTGTTTTTGTGCTTTGTGGCTGTCCGTGGGCCAAGCTGTCTCACGCGATTAGCATGCCAGCATCATATTTTCTGTGAAAGAAACAAAAAAGAAAATTGGCTGTTGCTTAATTTCACCTTAAGATGTTTTGTCATTACTTAAAGTGAGTTATTTTAGTCTTCAGTGCTTAGCTCCCCTGTAGTTACCAAGTAATTACTGAGCAGAGAGGATCTCTGTGTAAGAGAATGGAAGACAGACAGAGGTTCTTCTTCTCTGCGTATCCCTTCTCATAGATACCGTGGTTTCCAGCCCATTCCAGCAAGCACGTGAGAAAGTCCACTCTGCAAAGATGGAGCGAACGCTTCTGCTGGAACAACAGGAAGGTCTGGAAGATGGGTATCATTGTTCCTCCTCCTGATAACAGCAGCTTCAGGCCAGGCACCACCAGGAGCTCACGTGCCTCTGCATCTGTGGCGCAAACACCACAGCTATCCAGTGGCTCACAACCTGGCCCCATCCTCCAATCTGGTTATAGTCTCCTGTATGTAATCCTTATTATCATAATGGTTATAGTCTCCTGTATGTAATCCTTATTATCATAAGACCTTTGCAAGTATGAAACAAATCATTTCACTTTTCCAACGTTGTCATTTGCAAAAGCAACCATCAGAATTCTCCTCTCAGAATCTACACCGGGAGGTGATTACCATCCTATAGGACCTCTGTCTATGGCCATGTGACTGGCCTTGGCCAGTTTGGAAAGTGCTGTGCACCAGGGCTTGCCCTTTCTTGCCGTTCTTGAAAACCCTGCAACTTCCATCACAAGAATGGCTCCAGAGCTAGCCTGCTGGATGAGACACGTAGTCACTACCAGAACCAACATCCAGCTAACAAACATGCAAATTAGGCCATCTGAGACCCTCCAGCCCCAGCAGAGCCAACTCAGAACTCTGCAATTAACCCACAGCCCTGCAAAAGATAGATAGTAAAAGTTTGATATTTTAAGCCACTACATTTCAGGATTACTTGTTACTCGGCAAAAGCAAACTGACAGAGCCTCTCAACTCAGTAAGTTTAGTTTTTTCTTTAAACCATAGTTCTCTTATAATTTAGTCTCCAGCCACTTCTCTAATCTCAAGTTCCAGCACTTTCTCCTTATCCACTAGAAGCCATTCTAGCTTCCTGTGTTCCTCAAACACGCCAAGCACACTCCCCACTCAAAGGCTGTGCATTTGCTGTTTCCTCTGCTGAAATGCTTTCTTTCCGGAAGCAAGCATGCCCTTCTTCCTGATTTTCACACTCCGCTCAAACGTTATCCCTGCCTTCACGGTATCACCCCAATTCCATTCACCTTTTTTCTCCACAACACTTATTATTGCACACATTACGTGTCCGTCCATTTTCTGTCTACCCCTATAATAGAAACTCCATGAAATTTGTCTGTTTTCTTCACAGCTTGGCCACAGTGCCTTGAACTGCCCCTATCACATAGCAGACTTAATAAATAACCACCAAAAGAATGACTCATGGTGACTAGGCTTTATGTTCATGAGAAAAATTTTCATCATTGTGAAAATGATCTGGAGTCACACATTGTGCTAAGCAGGCTACAACATTACGTCTGATTTTTTTTTTTTTTTTTTTTTTTTTGAGATGGAGTCTCTCTCTGTTGCCCAGCCTAGAGTGCAGTGCACAATCTGTGCTCACTGCAACCTCTACCTCCAAGGTTGAAGCAATTCTCCTTCCTCAGCCTCCAGCGTAGCTGGGATTATAGGCGCCCACCATGACACCTGGCTAATTTTTTAATTTTTAGTAGAGATGGGATTTCACCATGTTGGCCAGGCTGGTCTTAAACTCCTGACCTCAGGTGATCCACCCACCTTGGCCTCCAAAAGTACTGGGATTACAGGCTTGAGCCACCGCACCCAGCCATTACATCTGATTTCTAATATGCCTACAGTCTTGCCAGTTAACCCCTCTCCCCGTTTTACGGATGAAAAAGCTGTGGCCAACAAGTTTCCTCATTTGCTGCTCTGCATACAGCTCATAAATTGATAGAGCTGCAATTCATCCAGGACTGTTTGATTTCATGCAGATTTCTTGCACCAGTGCCACTTCTCCTTCCATAAGTTGAAAACACCCATTCTGGTAGGATGCACCATCTTTTTTTCTTTTAAATACAGATGGGGTCTTGCTATGTTGTCCAGACTGGTCTGGAAACCAGACTGGTCTGGAACTCCTAGTCTCAAGCAATCCTCCCATTACAGGCATGAGCCACTGTACCCAGCCATGGATGCACCATCTTAAGATCTTACGCAGATCAGAGCAGTGACTTTATTGATCTGACTCTATAATTCAAGCATTTCATGGAGGTGAAAGTTAAGCCAGAGCAAACCAGACTTGGGTGTATCATCAACCAAGGTGCTGTGCAAAACATCAAAAAGAACCAAGAGAGGACATGCGAGCTGCCTGCCTCCTAGTCCTGTCTACGGCCTCTGTGCCGATTTTCTCCTGTGTGGATCCAACAAGGTTCACATATGCAGGCTGGCAAGGTGAGACCTGGGGTAACTCTAAGGGGAGAAGACAATTCTCCCAAATCAGGATTTCTAAGTCATACACACCAAGTCTTCATACATCCATTCATTCAACAAACATACCCAGTGCTACATCCTGGAAATTCAAGGTTTAAGGTAAATGCCACCACAGTCTCTGCTATAAGGGAATTTACATCTTGGGTCTGCAGGAGTTCTCACAAAGCACGAGGTCCTAATCAACTTTATCAGAAGGTCTCTAGATGACCTGAAGGTGAACTGAGGCCCCCCGAACAATAGCTATTCCTTCCTAGTACCCGCTTCTCCCTGAACCCACTCAGTCAGATACTGTCAGTCCCCCTGGGCCATTTTCTCTTGCCAGACACATCAATCTTACTTCCTTGGCTATTTCTGTGATAAATTCCTGAAACATGAGCAAGTGGAGAAGATGACTATTCCTATCATTCCTATTTTAGCTTATTTTATGGCCAACCTTATTTCTCACCATTTATCATATGTGCCTATCTGTAAATATCTGTATACATGTCATAATATGTGCACATCTCTATATGTATATGTACATGTATGCCTGCACAAATATGTGCCATACATGTAAACACACAAGCATTATATATGTATAACACAGGCAGATATGCTACATATGTATCAGGTGTCTGTATGTGTATACTACATATATGTAGAGAGATGGTCCCTAACTTAGGATGGTTTCAACTTAGGATTTTTGAACTTTACAATGATGTGTAAGTAATACTTATTCAGGGTCTGCTGGAAAGATGGCCAAATAGGAACAGCTCCAGTCTGTAGCTCCCAGAGAGATGGACCCAGAAGGCAGGTGATTTCTGCATTTCCAACTGGGGTATCTGGTTCATCTCACTGGGACTGGTTAGACAGTGAACACAGCCAGTGGAGGGTGAGCTGAAGCAGAGTGGAAAGTTGCCTCACCCGGGAAGCACAAGGGGTTGAAGGATCTCTCTCTCCCCCAGGCAAGGAAAGCTGGGAGGGACTGGAACAGGAGGAATGGTGCATTCTGGTCCAGATACGGCACTTTTCCCACCATCTTCACAACCGGCAGACCAAGAGATTCCCTCCGGTGCCTATGCCACCAGGGCCCTGGATTTCAAGCACAAAACTGGGTGGCTGTTTGGGCAGACACTGACCTAGCTGCAGGAGTGTTTTTTTCCCCCCCATACCACAGTGGTACACGGGACACCAATGAGACAAAACCGTTAACTCCCCTGGAAAGGGGGCTGGCTCAGTGGGTCCCACTTCTGGGGAGCCCAGCAACCTAACATCCACTGGTTTGAAATTCTCACTGACAGCACAGTAGTCTGCAGTTGACCTGAGATGCCGGAGCATGGTGGCGTGGGGCATCCACCACTGCTGAGGCTTGAGTAGGTGATTTTACTCTCACAGCATAAACAAAGCTGCCTGGATGTTCAAACTACACATTTTTTCTCAGCACAGCATAAACAAAGCCACTGGGAAGTTTGAACTGAGCAGAGGCCACCAAAGCTCAGCAAGGCTGCTGTGGCTAGGGCTGCCTGTCTAGATTCCTTCTTTCTGGGCAGGGTTTCTCTGAAGAAGAAAAAAAAGAAAGAAAGAAAGAAAGAAAGGTAGCATTCCCATACAGGGACTTAGATATAAAACCCCCATTTCCCTGGGACAGAGCACCTGGGGAAAGGGGTGACTGTGGGCACAGCTTCAGCAGATGTAAACGTCCCTGCCTGATAGTTCTGAAGGGAGCAGCAGATCTCCCAGCACAGTGTTTGAGCAATGATAAGGGACAGACTGCTTTTTCAGCTGGGTCCCTGATCCCCATGTATCCTGACTAGGAGACACCTCCCAGTAGGAGCTGACAAATACCTCATACAGGAGAGCTCTGGCTGGCATCTGGTGGGTGTCCCACTGGGACAAAGCTTCCAGAGGAAGGAGCAGGCAGCAATCTTTGCTGTTCTGCAGCCTTCACTGGTGATACCCAGGCAAGCAGGGTCTGGAGTGGACCTCCAGCAAACGCCAGCAGACCTGCAGCAGGGGGCCTGACTGTTAGAAGAAAAACTAACAAAGAGAAAGGCATAATATCATCATCAACAAAAAGGACGTTCACTCAGAGACCCCATCCAAAGGTCACCAACATCAAACCAAAGGTAGATAAATCCATGACGATGGGGAGAAACCAGGGCAAAAAGGCTGAAAACTCCAAAACCCAGAATGCCTCTTTTTCTCCAAAGGATCACAACTCTTTGCCAGCAAGGGAACCAAACTAGGTGGAGGGTGAGTTTGATGAATTGACAGAAATAGGCTTCAGAAGGTGGGTAATAACAAACTCCTCTGAGCAAAA